ACACCTACCACACACACAGAACTTCTTACCAATTAGTATGTCTTGTACCTTGGTACAAATGACAGGATCAAGTTTCCGCACTCCAGCAGGTATATAGTTTCCCGTTTGATTTTTTTTTTTTTTTTTTTTTTGAGACAGAGTCTCACTTTGTTGCCAGGCTAGAGTGAGTGCCATGGCATCAGCCTAGCTCACAGCAACCTCAAACTCCGGGTCAAGCATCCTCACTGCCTCAGCCTCCCAAGTAGCTGGATACAGGCATGTGACACCATACAACGGCTAATTTTCTATATATGTAGTTGGCCAATTAATTCTTTCTATTTATAGTAGAGATAGGGTCTCGCTCTTGCTCAGGCTGGATTCGAACTCCTGACCTGGAGCAATCCGCCTGCCTTGGCTCCCAGAGTGCTAGGTATTACATGCGTGACCCCAGCCCTGTTTTGATTTTATCAATTGGATGTGAATCTTCCTCTTTTGAATGAAGGTGATTCCAAAAACATTCAGAAATGGGAATCTTAGAGAAGAGATGCTTTGAAGAGGAAGCCTTGCCATTTCCCTCTTGTGCTGACTTGGTAACTATCCAGAGCCCCCTTACACTAACGAAAGACAAGACATAAAGGGTTGTGGTTTATAGGTGTGGTCCCTAGTGCTCCTTATCATCTTCACGTCTGTCTTTTTTTCCTTCCAGTTCATTTTGTTTCTCCCACTTATAACTTCTTTTGTTAGCTCCAAACCCTCTGTCTTCTCTCCTCACACTCAGACACAGTTGACCCTATTAAGGGGAGTGGATCAGTAATCGCTTTATTCAATGCTGTTACTGCATGATATAGTCACATACTTAGAATATATTCTAGTGATAAATCTCTGAGATTTTAGGTCAAGGATCTCTACTGCCACTTAGCCTAGAAGTAACAGTACAGTACTTGCAAAATCACTTTATTAGAACTATCCTTCAGTATTGCCCTTAATATTACCTCTGCTTAGCCAAGAAAATTTAATAGAGCTTCTTAATTGCTCCTTTCTGGAAGAATTGGATTTTTTCCTTTAGGGAAAGGAATTATTAATAATTTCTTAGACAAGGCCTTAATTCTATTAGACACATTTTTATTGTCCTGTTTTTTTTCTGTTTTTCTCCCATGTAATCTCTAATGACTTCATTGAAATAGTTTCTGATTCCTACTTGATTTTTAAGCCAAAAAAGAAATTTCTGCCACCATCGCTGGTAAGCTTACATAACCCTCAAAATTAATTATTCACTATTTAGCATTACTTTCCTTGCTTCTCCTTTCCCTGCAGTCCACACCTATTTCTCTTTTTTGTTCTTTTTTTGTTTCTGTTTTCTTTCTTTTTTGTTAATTACTGGATCTTTAATGATCTTGTAATCCAATCTGTATCAATGATTTGACATGTTAAATATCTGTCATAAGAACTTTGAATGGCACTGTCCAGGTGCTACAAATAAAAGATTTAAAATTAATTGATTAGTAACATGGCTATACTAATATCTACCCTAAATGAAGAGGAAATTTTTGAAGAAAAATTCTAATATTTTCCTAAATTTCATTAACTATCAGAACTTATTTTATACATCCTAAAATTAATTTTTTAATACTAGCCATATAAATGGAGGCATTACTATATGATCTAGTGTTATTTATCAGTAGCTATCTGCCAAAAAATTATCCTTTTCTGCAACCAACCAGTAATGGTTTCATGGTTAGATTAATAGAAGCTGATCATTATATTTTATCTGGACAAGAGAGCTTTCATTTTCATGAATTAAAGTATCTATATTTTCACATTTTCATTAACTTATTCATTTTTCTTATTTAATTTTATTTTTTAAAATATTTTTATTAATTTTCAAGTCTAAATTCTTCTCTATACTAATGCCTTAAAAGCTACATCCCATTAAGTTCTGAAGTTATCCTTTACCATATCTTTCTGTTTAAATTGCATTGAGTTTGTTTATAGTACAAAACACAAAGCATTTTTCCTCATTACCTGAAATTCTGTTCAGGCTATGGAGAAAGAGAGAAAAATGAATCATAGAGCATGTTCTCTGTAGGAGGGATTTGGTGGGGACAATGTAGGAGGAGGGAGAAGGAAAAAGTACAATGAGCACACACAGTGTTTAAGTCCACCAACTGCTCTCTTCTTGACAAGGGCTGTCCTTTGTTTTTCTATCTTTAGATAATGCCTTTTCTATTCTTTTTATGAAATGATAATAAAGCATAAGGTAGCTAGATTATTTTAATGACCCTTGTTTGGAAACAAATTAAAAATTGTTCATCCTAATTGGGTCTTCTAAAATTTCTTTACAATTGTACGGTCTATGAAAATCTCAAAGTCTGAGAAAATGGTAAAGCTGCCTGCTCAAAAATATAGCATATGTCTTCTAAATTAAGTCTTATTTTGGTAAAATCACAATTTAAAAAATTATCAGTGTCCCAATTTGTCATCAAGATGGAAAATCAACATGTTTAGGTATTTGTTTACCAGTGTAAAACCAATTTTTCTAAAAGTATTTTTCTAATTTTGATTATTGACATAATTCATTAATGCATTTTACTAGAATTCATTGAGTTTAATCTTATAACAGTATATTATTGCTCTGTTACGTTGATAATTTAAGTGAAATATCTGCTCTCAATTCAAATCAAAGAAGTCAGAACAGAACCTACGTGTTTGGAGTCTGAAATCCTAACAATTCCAGTGATTTATGCCTATGGAAAATAGGGCTCATTTTGGGGTTCACCTGAACTCCTGACCTCGAGCAATCCGCCCGCCTCGGCCTCCCAGAGTGCTAGGATTACAGGCGTGAGCCACCGCGCCCGGCCTATTGCTTATAATTTGATTGATAACCAGAACTTGCTTTGTACAATGGGAATAAAAGCTGTTGACCAGGGGATGAGGATGGGGGGAAGAGATTGACTGCAGAGAAACAAGAAAGAACTTTTCAAGAGTAATGACAATAAACACTTAAATTGGTGAATTTTAACTTAATAAAGTATACCTTAGTAAGCACTTTTTTTTTAAAAAAAATGGTATTGTGCTTGCAATGATGGGCTTTGAGTGGATAAGAATGTATGCATAGTGGCCCAGTGTGGTGGCTCACGCCTGTAATCCTAGCACTCTGGGAGGCTGAGGCGGGCGGATTGCTCCAGGTCAGGAGTTCGAGACCCACCTGAGCAAGAGAGAGACCCCGTGTATGGTGTCACATGCCTGTAGTCCCAGCTACTTGGAGGCTGAGGCATGAGGATGCTTGAGCCCAGGAGTTTGAGGTTGCTGTGAGCTAGGCTGATGCCATGGCACTCACTCTAGCCTGGGCAACAAAGTGAGACTCTGTCTCAAAAAAAAAAAAAAAAAAAAAAAATCAAAACGGGAAACTATATACCTGCTGGAGTGGGAAACTTGATCCTGTCATTTTGTACAAGGTACAAGCACATACTAATTGGTAAGAAGTTCTGTGTGTGTGTAGGTGTATGTTTGTGTATGTACACATACATGTATAAACAGAGGAGGGAAGAAGCATGAATACCGACAGATGTTAAATGATCTCAACAGGGAAGAAGCATTAGCACACTCATTCTTCCGTATTGCTAATTGTGGAACAAACACTCATGCTTTAGGAAGGCCTTGATTCCCACTGGTAATACATGAATATTGAAAAGAAGCCAGTCAAGAGTAAATCTTCTCTTT